CACACACACACGTCCTATCCTCTGGCAGAAGGTAGCCAAGCTTGTGTGAGTTGTAAATGGAAATCAATGAGCTCTGCAAAGAGCCCTGAAATCCCTTTATCAACATGCACTCACATAGCAAGAGCCAGGAGGATGGGAATCGATACCTCTCCTAATCCTGAAGCCCCAGTTCTTGGCAGCAGCCCAAGGGCCAGGCTGACTGCAACGTGGCAACACATCAGAGACAGTTTGTCTGTTTTCCTGTGACCTGGTATTCTAAAAGCTTTCTTCCACAGGTGATGCTGTGCTGGACTATCCTCTGAGTCAAGGGTCTCCTGGATCTCATGTGAATCTTCACACACAGGAAGCAAGTCAATACCTCTTAACAGATGATTCTTGAACTTGTCTCAGCTTCATTGGGTTTCCCTTCTCTCTCTGCCTCTCTGTCTCTGTCTCTCTCTGTCTCTGTCTCTCTCTGTCTCTGTCTCTGTCTCTGTCTCTCTCTCTCTCTCTCTCTCTCTCTCTCATCTGTTGTGAAGAACAACATCTTCACTATCTTCTTTAGGCTTTGGCAAAGCTGTATTTCTCTACTTGACTTGCACCCTTTTGGGGCTGGCAAGCCTTATTTTATGCACCCCAATTTTTAAAATGCACCCTAGCTGCATTTTAAAGTTCCGTATTTTTGTTTTGTGTATTTTTAGATTTTCTGTATGTAAGCAGATATTTTATGTTACTATAAAGTGTGAATACTGGATATCTAGTTCAGCAAGTTTGGTATAACAGTTTGTTTAATCATGATATAGAATATTTTCACTACCTAGAAGTCCTCTCCTAAACCCAAAGTTTCAGTCTCCTTCCCCAGAGTTATCACTGCTTTAATGTTAACCTTCCCTTATTACTGAAATACAAACATTCATTATGTCTTCCTTCATGTCCACTCTCTTTCAGTTAACATAATGTTTTAAACTTGATTCATATTATTAAATATATCAGTAGTTAATTGAATTTTCTTATCTGGGAGAGGGGTCGTTTTGATTACTGTCCTGGTTAGTTTTTATTGTCAACCATAGACAATGCAGAGTCACTTAGGAAGAGGGAACTTAAACGAGAGAACTGCCTAGAGGACATTAGTGTGAGTTAAACATCTGAACAAGAATAGTCATTCTGGGTTCAATAAAATGGGAAAGAGCTAAAAGAAGGTCCAGAAGACCCCAGCAATCTCTCCTCCAGCGACCAGTTTATCCCTCAAACTCAGCTGAAGTATCAGTACCTAGTCCTTCCATAATTCCTGCTCAATTCTTCATCTGTATCCCAGTCATCTCAGACAACTTCACACACACACACACACACACAGACACACAGACTTCTGCAGCCATTTTTATTGCTTTGTGTCACATTGCTTCTTTTGAGAACTGCTTCCCTTCTACCTTAGTCCTACCTAAGAGTGATCTTAAAGCAACTGGCAATCTTTATTCTGCTAAACGGACATAGTAAGAAGCCACACCCTGAGTCCTTATTTTTATGCCCCTAGATAAATGCATCTGTCAACCCCCTTTTTAAGTGATGTGTTGATTAATTCAGAGATTTTCAACCATCCAATGTGCAGAAAATAAGACTGTGGAATATTAAATTCTAAATGGGACATCTGTATGATGGCCTCCCCTCTCAAGGCTGAGGGATCACTGGGAAAAATATGAGTGGGGGGAAGTGTTCTTGTGATCTCATCCTATCTAAGGACCTATTGGCAACTGAAGGCTACTACTTAAGGAAGAACCAATTTTCTTTAGGAACACAAGACCTGAGATGCATGCCCCAGTAGATGATTCCACACCTATACCCAAGCAGACATCAACAAAGAGATTCTGTGTGTATTAAATTATTTTTAAAGCACATGACATTGGAAGGGAAGAGTGGTGGGTGGTATAAAAGAAGATGGAATGGGGCTGATATCTTTAAAATGCACTATATGTATTATTAATATTAAAATATGTTTATAAACTAAAAATTAAATAAAATATGTATATAGGCTTTGCATACCTACTTCAATCTTTACAACTGCAGAGTATAAATTAATGTACAAAAGAAAGATGCTACACAAATTCCTGAGAAGATGGATAGATGCAGGAAATGAAGAACAGAGGTGCAGTGCCTGTGTTCTTTGGCAATTCTCAGAAGAATCAGGGCAATGACTTCCATTTCATTGGTTCTTGCAACTGGTACCAATTAACCTGAGTCAAATACCTGAGTAGCATCTGTGACAGGGGCGTCTCCCCAGCCATCACAGAGTGTTTTTTCCAGTGCTTCCATAAACATTTTCATAAGACCCCAAAATTGGGCAGAGTCAACATTACTCTCCAGCCACAGAACTTAAAAATCAATGTGGACAGAGAGGGACTCTTCTCTGTCAGAACAGGACCAGCAAGAGTGAGTGGTAGTGCCTCAGCTGCTGGCAGGGGGGTGGGTTAAATATAGCCCAGTAGGTACCTAAAAGGTGGCATCCTGCCTGTTAAAGAGCTCTGTAACACTGGGAATAACATTTAGTACTCAGCTGTTTCTCACCCACCTCTCAGATGGTCCCAGCAGGAAACAAGTCTGCGGCTGTCATGTTTATAGCTAATTAATGTTTATTTATACTTTTAAACAAGCCTTTCACCTGTCACTCTTTAAAATAAATGCTCCGCTCTTCAATTAGAGATTGTCAGAGCAGAAAGAAATCCTGTTTTGTTGAGGACTTAACATGTGCGTGTGTTTAAATGTGTATCAGATCCGGGGTTCTTCTCTCCCGAATCACTCTCTTCTCCTGGAGGCTAAAGCTTCCCACACTGAGCAACAGCCTTTCTCCAGCTTTCAACTGTGAGACTGCAGCCTTGCTCTGTAGAGCTTGATGAACACAGACACCAGCAGAGATTACACTGCCTCCTTGAGATGCACGTGTCCTTGGAAGCAGGGATGACTACAGTACATTATTAAACATTTGAACCAGGATTCAATTTATGTTCTTGGGGGCAGAGGCACATGCTGTTGTTCTATGTGCCAAAGAGAAGTTGACTCATCCAATCACGGCAGTACAGTTTTGCAGGTTTTAAAGCAAAGTGTGTCTATTTACAGGCTTTGGGAGACAAACCTTTAAACCCTTGGAATATTATGGTGGACAAGAATATCTTTCATTAGATGGGGATTTGTATAGTGCCAGGCGGTCAATGTTAGTGGTGTGAGTTTGGGTGCAATCCTTTACCCAGGAGGTATGAGTTTGACTTCTGGAGGAGGATGGGCATGGAGTAAAGGATGTACTTCATGGCTACATGGCTCACCCACCGTTAATTCTTCTCTGAAGCTACTGATGTATATCCTGTGATATTTCAATGCACATATGCAATGTGGGTGAGCAGCATATGTATCTATACCTTCATCATTGCATTGTTTCTGGAGCCTCTGAAACTCTAAACTATGTAAGTTCTTATGAATTTGCAGTCAGCCCACGGTGTTGAGGAACACTAGAGCTAAATATTCTGTACTGAAATTAAAATTTTAAGCATCTACAAGTAAGAGGTAACTCGGAATATTTGTTTTTTCATGACCCATATATTTTTTTAAATTTTTAAGGGGATAGGAATGTTATGTGCCCTCATTTGACTATTATTTATCATATGCATATATTGAATCCCATACTATATGACATAGACAAATATAATTAAAATAAAATTTAGGAAAAACACACACATACACACACACTCTTACTCCAAGTTCCGGTGAACTTAGCTGATTGTTAGTAACACTGTTACCAAATATTTGGGCTCTATTCCAAGAAGACATCATAATTTTCCCTTTTACAGATGTCAATTTTATGTTTTTTTTTTTTTACCACAGTATACTAGAAATACAAGATAACAGCTATTTTGAGTACCCTGAAACCTGAAGAATCTTTGAACCTGGAAGTGGGCAACCGGAACATACTCAAAGAGTAAATCACAAAGTGAAGCTGTACCTCAGCATCACAAACATAGCAGAACTGAATCTCTGTTCTACTGTATACATTTGAATGGCTTTAGGGATAGCACTTTATGTGTTCATCTCTTGAAATTGGACTACAAATCTCATAGGTCTTTCCAGGATTCATTAAACATGCCATTCTCGTAATCACAGTGTATAAGCTTTAGAAAGTAGGTTCTGGTAGAACTGCTCAGTCTGACATTCCTTCATTTTTAGTACATGTGGACATTTGTCCTCACACTTCTACAGATGGATCTGGTCACAGTTCGTAGAAAACACATGAGCATTCCCATAGGCCACTCTGTTGCCATTTTTTCTTTCTTATCTGGAACTAAGGCTTCTGGTTTCAGATTGTCTGACATCAGTTGCATAGTACTTGGGACTGGAGAGGAAATCCTACATATGAAACGACCTAGGACAATGCTAGAATTGTCCTGAAAAATATATGAAAATAGTATTTCTAGTTTAATAATGTAAGAATAAAACTAGAAAAATTTCCAGTTTTTACCAGTAAGCATTGAACCATTGTTCTGAACCTATTGTGAGATGAATTGGGTCTTCATAAAATATATGTTGCAACTCTAATCCCTGGAGCCTAGAAATATGGTCTTGTATGGGATGTGCATCTTAGTAAGTGGAGGAATGCTAAGATTAAACTGAATAACTGTCCTAACCCAATGATGAATGCCTTTAGAAGAGGAGAGTGCAGACCACCAGACACCAAGCTCAGATGGTCCTGTGAAGATGTAAGTGATGGATCAAATGGGCCAACGACAACTGAGTACTGCGAGTAGCCACAACACATTGCAAGAAAGGGGGGATGATATTTTTAAAGTCAGAAGGATCAGAACAGCTTGCCAACTCTTTCATTTTAGACTGTCAGCCTCTAGAAATGTGATACGAGAAGTTCTGTTACTTTAAGCCACCCAGCTTGTGGTCATTTGACATAACAACTGTCATACAGCTGATGAGCTGTCTCCTGGAGGGTAAAAGGAACTTTCATTGTAGTATGAAAGAAAGAAGTGACTCACCACAGGCCCCCGGCCAGTACTGCTTAGGAAGTGAAGAAGACCTTTGGCATGGTAGATGGTTGGTTGGAGATGAGCTTGGGGAAAGAGCCACTGTCTGTTGAGATCCTCGCCTCTCAGTGAGCATCTGTGACTGCAGGAAGGAACAATAAGCAAACAAAACAAAAAAAAACATTTAGACAAAAAATAGCTTCATAAAATAAAATCCAAGCTGACAAACAATTAAACTAATGAATCCAACTTCGATCTGACTTCTGCCACCAGCTCCAGATGTCCAGGAAGCTGCAGATCAGTACTAGAAGACTGTGGAGTGGCCTAGTTATCTGCAGCTGTGGGAATTGGAAACTGCATCTAACTTAATACAGGGTTAATAGTGTTTTAAGACAAAATTTGGGAAACATGGTTTCCAACTGTATGTACCCATTAAAAAAAAGAAGAAGAAGAAAAGAAAAAAAGAAAGTCAATGTACGATCTCCAGGGCCATCAGTTCTACAAATAACTAATTTGAGCTCAAGATAGCACACACAGTATAGTGAAATATTATATTTCTAGATGGCCCAATAGCATTATAAAACTCAATATTATTATTACACTCCAGTGAAGAAACAAGTGACCCAAGATATATAACTAAAGATTTACACCTAGGAGTCTTTGCCTCTAGCCCACACATTCCTTCTTGGGAAATCTTTGAAAACTACCAGAACTAAGCTCAAGATTATATGTTCCCTGGGGATACTCATAGTCAAAGCCAACATGTTAGTTTCTAAGATTAGTCAACTCCTTAAAAAGAAGCAAAGCTTCCCGGGAGAGTTGTTCTATGAGCCCAAGACAACTTAAAAGTTTATCAGAAGCAATCCATCCATAGGATATGTTCCCTGGTATGATGGCTACAGTGGCTATGATGGCATTTATATGGTAAACCAGCAAGATGCCACAGATTGAAGAGACCAACACAACAACCCCATCACCAGAACCACCACCATTAAGCCCCTCCCACTAATACCTTTCCATTCTCCCACACAATGAAATTGCTTAGTTTCTTCTGAACAGTGTGCTTGATATATGTTTGACCAAGCTTCCCATATCCACCCATTCTCACCTATTTAACTTTCAGCAGGTCAGCCTTGTTCTCAAAACTTCATGAATTCCGAAGCTTAGAAATTCTAGTCCTGTTTGTTGTAAGAATCCTTATAGAATCATTTTGGAGAAATTTGTACTACTATCATTTTTATTTATTTTATCCTCCTTAATAGACTGGAAGAAATGGGGGCTTGCTTCCTTAGGGAGGAAGAATACTCATTGGTACCATTACAATTCTAAAAGGAACTGTATCAGCCAACAACATAAGACTCTATAATGACACTTGTCAGAGAGCCAACTTTGAGGGAGGATGCAATTTCACAAGACTTCATCCCTAGATGAAGGGCTATAGTTAATCATTGAGCAAGGAGAAACGGAGAATCAGGTAATCGGTTCTCTTCAGGGACAAGGCCCCTGATGATTCAACCAATCCCAAGTTTTTAGCCCTAAACTCTAGTTCATATGGACAACAACACTAAATGGACTCACTAGGGTGTATATGTATATATATGTGGAAATGTGCGTGCGTGTGTGTGTGTGTGTGTGTGTGTGTGTGTATGTGTGTCTGTAACAAAGACAATAGAAATGTCTATGAATTTGAAAGGGTTTATGGGAAGAAATGGGGTGAATAGTGAACGCTTGAGTAAAATTCTCAAAAAATTACCATAATTGGTATTAAGTGATCAATAGAGAACAAATTCTTGCCCTGACATTGTAGAAGCAAACACACTTTCCCTCTTAAAATCACTGGCCTGTTAGCAAGTAATCTTAGAGAGGAAATGGCTCAAACTCTTTTGTACAATATTTAAATCTCCAGGTTCTGAAGTTATCTTTCAGCATTAGCTCCCAGTTGCTTACAAACTCTTAGAAATCACTAGAAATTGAAAATATTCAATAATTTATTTATCCTAATTTTGTCATAAAATATTTTACTTGATGGGTTAGAGATGTAGCTAACATGGTAACAGTGTTTGCCTAACAATGCAAGAAACTCTAGATTCAATCCTCAATACAACATAAGCCAGGGGTGACATTGTGTGCCTGTAATCTCAGCCCTCAAGAAGGACAGACAGGAAGATAGAAGTTCAAGGTTATCAATAGCTACATAGTGACAGATTATAACCAGAAAAATATATATATGTATGTATGTATATATATATATATATATACACATACACGTACATGTGTTTGTGTGTGTGTGTGTGTGAGAGAGAGAGAGAGAGAGAGAGCAAGAGAGAGAGAGAGGTAGAGAGAGAGAGAGAGAGAGAGAGAGAAATTTAATGCCAATAGCAGTGGAAAGGAAAGGCACGACAGAAATGGTCTGTGGCATATTTGCTTCACTTCTTTTTTTTCATTTTTTGTTGGTTATTTTATTTATTTATATTTCAAATTTTATCACTTTTCCCCATTTCCCCTCCACAAGCCTCCTATCTCTTCCTCCTTTCCCCTGACTCTTTGAGGATGTCCTCCCATCTGCCCACCCACTCCTGCCTCAGCAGCCTACCATTTCCCTATCCTGGGTCATCAAGCATCCACAGGGCTAAGGGGCTCCCCTCTCAGTGATGCCAGATAAGGCCATTCTCTGCTACATATCCAGCTGGAGCCATGAATACTCCCTGTGTACTTTTTGGTTGGTGGTTTAGTCCCTGGGAGCTTTAGGGGGCCTGGTTTGTTGATATTGTTGTTCTTCCTATGGGGTTGCAAACCCCTTCAATTCCTACAGTCCTTACCCTAACTTCCACATTGGGGTGCCTATGCTCAGTCCAATGTTTGGCTGTGTATACCCGCATCTGTATTGGTCCAGCTGTGGCAGAGCCTCTCAGGGGACACCTATACCGGGCTCCTGTCAGTAAGCACTTTTTGGCATCAGCAATAGTATCTAGGGTTGGTGGCAGCAGATGGGATAGATCCCTAGATGGGGCAGTCTCTGGATGGCCTTTTCTTCAGTTTCTGCTCCACTCTTTGTCACTGCATTTCCTTTTGACAGGAAGAATTCTAGATTAATATTAATCTGGAGGTGGGTGGGTGGCCTCATCCCTCAACTGGAGGCCATACTTATCCACTGGGTTTGGTCTCTACAGGTTCTTTCTCCTCTTCGTTGGGTATTTCAGCTAAAGTCCCCCCTGTTGGGTCCTTGGGAACCTCTTGGGTCCCTGGTATCTGGGACTTTCTGGTGGCCATCCCCAGTTCCCCCTCCCACACTGCTACACACCTACTTTCAAGTTCCTGACCCTCTGTATTTCTCCCCCATCTCCTCCCATATCTGAACTGGCCTCCCTTTTCCTTCCTGCTCCCCTCTCCCTCCCAGATCCATTAGGTTTTTATTCTGAAATCAAAGCATCCAAAAATCTGAGAATACTTTAACTGCTGTGTGATTTTTCTTGCCTTGACCCGAATTCTCATCAACAGTACAGACTATTTTTTCTGTAACACTGACCATGATAAAATGAACTGAGGTTCTCTCAAGGCATTCCTGTTTATGTAAACAAAAAAAATGCACGTATTGTTATGTATCCAACAGCCAACAATTCTGCGATTCCCTCTCCCTCCTCTTTCCCTCAGCTCCATGGAGACCCAGTTCAGGGGCAACATCTCCATGGAAAGGTCCATAGATTACCACACAGCAGAAACACAATTCTGTACCATAATTCTTAAAAAATAAAGAAAATAAAGTTCTGTACTGCAACTAGAAACCACCCAAGTTTTGATTAAGAAGGCAGAGTTCTAGCTCCTGGCTCCATCACTGGGTATGGTATTTGGGGAGTTCATTTATAATCAGTATTCTTACATGAGGAAAGTAGGTATGTTTATCCTGCTTCCTAAGGTTATCATTATCATAGGTATAATCATCAGGGATCACCAAACCCTGGTCTACTCTGTGTTGTTTTGAAGATCAAATGAAAGGGTACCTATCATTTGTGTTTTCATGGAAATTGAGCAGCATAGTCCTATATCCATCTACACCTTCTTGTGTGACTATACCACATGTGCTCTATAGCCATATCTCCTGTCCCCACTGGTCAGAGATGCACAGCTCAGTGGTGACCATGTCCACTGTTTCCTTTCCTCATGCAATCTATACTGCCTATGAATAACAGTCAGGAATCAGTATGCAGGGTGAATAGAAAAGAGAAGAAACTTCGCCAGGGACCACAGAGAAGGGGCTGTGATCTGCTTTGAAGTTTATTTGATTTAAGCACACTTCATGGTAGAGGCAGTGGAATGGAATGGAAAAGAATTAATCAAAATACAAAATTACAAAGGGAATTACTGATTACTCTTTAGGCTACTAGCCAGGGCTAAGGGAGGAGAAGAAATAGGATTGTCTGTGATCTGCATGTGGAGAAAGTTGTGACAGTGAAAATAATATAGACGTTAGGGAGCTGTTATTTTAGTGAAAGTTTTGTTTAGTGTGTTTTTCCAGGATAAAGAAATTGAACCATCCCAGCGGCAGAGCTTGGCTGTGGAGATTTGAGAACCACATATGCTTACATTTGTATTCAGGCCTGCATGTGTGGCTGTGATTTGGAGGTATCTCTCTGTGTGTGCCTACAGCTTTGATATTTCCTACAGCTCAGTAACTGCCGACAACCACAATGTGTACTACACCTGCCTTGAGAGCTTTTTCTTTTAAAGCAAATCCATTTGCTCCCAATCTGCAAATCCGTTTGGCATTTTATGTTAATGATACCTGAGATCCCTGTAGTCATAGAAGCTGCTGGTGCTCTTCGCAGGGATTTGTTTTAAGCATATGAAGATGAAAATGTACCCCATCTTACTATCTACTGTAGCATTTCTGCAATGACAGCTGCCGCTTCATTGTGCAGAGACTTAGCAGATGGACAGTGATGAGGGGCTGGCAAGACATTCAGAGCCTGCGATTTCTGAGAAGGGGTCAACCCTCAAATAGAGTTTGAAGTCTTAGTTTTCTTACAGGAAGAGCAAGGAAAGATCATCGCTATTCTTCCACACTGGAAATGACAAACTTTTACAGAAAAAAAAAAAAGTCACATACCTCTGGTTCGCATAGGTAATATGATATAACTGGTCCTC